TACTTCTCATTTATAATGCCTATACATCACATATATAGAGAGAGAGTCATTTGCATCTTGCCTCCTCATTAGAATGTGAGCCCTTTGAGGATAGGGACTGTTTTTTACCTTCTTTGTGTCCCCAAACATTTGTCACAGTGCCTGATCATAGTAAAATGCATAATGAATGGATGTTGACAGATTGAAAGGCCATTCTACTTGGCTAGGAAAACAGAATTGCCTCCATCCAATACACTGTATTCTGTAGCTATTGTCCCCCCAAATCTTTGTGAGGAGGATGGTGTATCATTTTACTGTCCCTTCTCCTAGACAAGGGTTTGTCAATAGGATTACACTGAATTTGGCTATTGTTTAGCACTGATTTAATTACTTTGCTCTCTTTTTTATGTGGCATGATAAAAGATGAAAATGGTAGGGAGTTAACAGAAGTAGAAGAGATTAAGAGGTGGCAAGAATACACAAAAGAACTATACAAGACAGATCTTAACATCAAGATGGCGTAGTTACTGATTAAGAGCCAGACATCCTGGAGAATGAAGTTGAGTGAGCCATAGAAAGTATTGCTATTGAGGCCTTGGCCCCTCCATCCCAAGCACATCTTGGTGTTAATTGTTCAAATAAATATTCCCAGTGACAAAAATAGTATTGCTAACAATAAGGCTAGTGGAGGAGATGCAGCTGAGCTATTTAAAATCCTAAAAGATGATGCTGTGAAAATGTTGCATTCAATATGCCAGCAAACTTTGAAAACTCAACATTGTCCACTGGATGGGAAAAGATCAATTTATGTCCCCATCCTTAAGGAGGGCAATGTCAAAGAATGTTCAAATTACTAAACAATTGTGCTCATTTCTTATGTCAACAAGGTTATGTTTAAAATTCTGCAAACTAGGCTTCAACAATATGTGAACCAAGAATTACCAGAAAAACAGTATCATTTTCAAAGAGGCAGAAGAAACTAGAGATCTGATTGCCAACAGTGCATGGAGAAAGCAAGGGAGTTCTAGAAAAACATCTGCTTCTGCTTCATTGGCTACACTAAAGACTTTGTGCGTATCACAACGAAATGTGGCAAGTCCTCAAAGAGATGAGAGTACCAGATTATCTTGTTATCTGAAGAACCTGTATGCAGGCCAAGAAACAAAAGTTAGAATGGAACAACTGATTGATTTAAGATTGGAAAAGGACTACAACAAGGTTGTATATTGACAACTCATTTATTTAATTTATATGCAGAGCACATCATGTGAAATGCCAGACTGGCTGAACCAAAAGCTGGAATTAAGGTTGCTGGGAGAAATATCAATAATCTCAGATATGTGGACAATACCACTCTGTTGGCAGAAAGTGAAGAGGAATTAAGAAACCTCTTGATGAGGGTGAAAAAGAAGAGCGTAAAAGCTGGCTTGAAACTTAACATTAAAACAAAACAAAACAAAACAAAGCTCTTGGCAACTGGTGCCATCACTTCCTGGCAAAAAGAGGGAGAAGAAATGGAAGGAGTGTCAGATTTTATATTCTTAGGTTCAAAGATCACTGCAGATAGTAACTGCAGCCATGAAATTAAAAGATGCTTGTTCCTTGGAAGGAAAGTGATAGCAAATCTGGACGGCATATTAAAACACAGATGACCTTACTGACAACAGTTTGTATGGTCAAAACTTTGATTTTCTGTTAGCAAAGTATGGCTGTGAGAGTTAGATTATTAGGAAAGCTGAGCACTGGAGAATCAATGCTTTAGAACTGTGGTGCTGGGAAAGACTTTTGGGAGTCCCTTGGACAGCAAGGAAATCAAATGAGTCAATACTTAAAGAAATGAATTCTGACTATTAATTGAAAGGTCAAATACTGAAGCTGAAATACTTTGGCCATGCAGTGAGAAGACGGGACTCATTGGAAAAGAGTCTGATGTTGGGAAAGATTGAAGACAAAGGATAAAGTGATGGCAGAAGATCAGATGGATAGTGTCATGGGAACAATGAACTTGAACTTGGACAGACTTTGAGAGATCAGTGGAGCACAGAAGGGCTTGGTGTGCTATGGTCCATGGGATAAAGAAGAGTTGGACACAACTGAAGTATGTGTGTTGTTCTGCTGTCTTTGCTTACTTTGTCAAATCCAGACAAATCTCCTGTTTCTTTGAATTTTTACTACTTGTCATTTCTTATGACATGATAGTGTACATTCATGTGCATAATTTATATAGGCATTTTCCAATTAATGTTAATCCAGTTTCATTTTTCTGCTACAAAAGTGCTGTTGTAAATATACATGTGTATATGTACGTTTGAGGCAGCTAGGTGGTGCAGTGGATAGAGCATTCATTGGGCCTGGAGGCAGGAAGATCTGGATTCGAATGCAGGATCAGACACTAGCCATGTGACCCTGGGCAAGTTCCTCATCTGTAAAATTGAGGTTGTGGTTGTGATTTGTTCTTCATCCTCGAAGAGGACCATGGCATCAGGGAGATGATGACATGCCTTGCAATTGGGTTTGATTTGAGTGAGGGAGGGCTGTGCAAAGTCACCAGCCTCACCTTCTTCCTTATCTGTAAAATGGAGACACACTGGAGAAGGAAATGGTAAAGCACTGCAGAATCTTTGCCAAGAAAATCCCATAGATGTAGTCTATGGGGTCACAGAGTAGGATACAACTGAACAACCGAACAATATGTATGAATGCAGATATGTACACAACACATATTTGTGTTTATCACCTTTCCTTGTTTATTACATACTTAGGGCACATGTTGAGCAGCAGGATTGCTGGGACAAAAGGTATAAGCCACTGAACCATATTGTGACTTTTCTCACATAATTCCAAATTATTTTCCAGAATAATTGGAAGACTTCTGAGCTCCTGAGTATCTATCTTCTCACAACTCCTCTAAAAATGGAAAATTTCCTTTTTATCACTTTTTGATAGGCCAAAGATAAAATCTTAAAATTGTTTTAATTTGAAGTTCTTATTCTGACTTTTTCATAAGGTTGTTGATATTTGAATTCTTTTGAAAACTATTTGTGTCCTTTGACCCTACTGAAGAATGACTCTCAATTTTGTCAGTTTGGTACATATCTTTATCAGGCTTTTATCTGAGATATTTTTTTTTGCCCATTCTGGCTTATTATTCCAACTGCATTTGTTTTTCTTCAGGAAAAATGTTCATGTCTTATGTGAATGAACTTTAACTTTTTCATTACTGATATATGAATTTCCTTTGTCTACAAAGATTCCCAAAGATTCTGATTTAGTAGCTATGACCTAGCAAATAAAAATAATAATAAAACCAACAAACATGAGGCTACGTAACTTTCCCAGAGTCATACATCATTCACTGTGAGGTAGAGTATGAATCCAGTCTTCCTGACCAGCCCATTTCTATCTACTCTGCCTTGCTACTTCTACTTGCTTGTATTTTACAATCTTTTCTATCCCATTTAGCTGAGTTCTCCTATCCATAGTTGTGAAATGTAACACCTGTTCTTTAAATTTTTAATGATAGACTCTTTTATGTTTAGGTTGCATATCTATTTAGAGTTCATTGTGGCATGTGGTTTAAGACACGGATCCGAAGGTAATGTTCAGTCAAATTGCTTTCCAGTTTTTTCTGGCAATTCTTGTCAAATAAAGTAGTGCTCTTCAAGAAGCAGAGAAATGTCATTCATCGACACTGATGGTAGCACAGGACCTGATGCATAGTAGACACTTCAAAACTGCATGTTGACGGACAGTAAAATTTTAATAAAATGTTACCAAACAATATAGCAATACATTTTTTAAAAATATGGACTATGACAAAATTGAACTCATATCACTGACGGTTCAAGATTAGAAAAACAACATAATTTATCAAATAAAGAGAAAAAAACCTGTTGATATTAATAGACACATAAAAGGCTTTAACAAAATATGGTTACATATTTATATTAAAAACACAGATAAGGGCCCTTCTTAAATGTGATTGATAGTATTTATTTAAAACCAAGAGCTAGCTTTGTTTGCAATGGAAAATACTGGACAATTTTTGAGTAATAACCATGATAAAGCAAGGGTGAACACTTTCCTTAATTTTATCTGATTATGCTGAAAATGCTAGTTATTGAAATAAGACAAGAGAAATAAGTAAAGAGGAGTCAAAACCATCACTGTTTACATGCATGATGGTTTATTTAGAAAACCAGACATGATTAATAAGGAAACTGAGACTAAATAGTTAGATATAAAATAAATCCAGAAAATTATCAGCATTTCTATATAGTATTAACAACAACAAAAAAGGAAATGATAGAAAAAATGAATTCCATTAAATATATCTACAAAATGCAGAAAACATCTAGGTTTTAACCTACCAAGACAGGCTTGGCTTAATTTATAGATTTAGTGCTAAAACAATTAAATGTTCAAAAGCGGGCTGCACATATAATAAAAATAATGGCACTAATCAAATTAGTCTATAAATTTGATGCTATACCAATCAAATTACTATATAGACAATATAGAACTTTATTATACAAAATAAAGTTCACATGGCAGAAAAAGTTTTTAAAAACCAAAGGAAATTATTTATCAAGCACCCATCGGTGCAAGGCACTGTGCCAAGTGCTGGGAATACTAAAACAAAAGTCTCTACCCTCATAGAGCTTACATTCTACCAAGAGACAAAATGTACAGAGATAAATAAATACGATTGGAGGGAGAACATACTAACAGCCAGGAGGTTCAGGAAAGGCTTGCCCTAGGAGGTAGTACCTGAGCTGATCTTTGAAGCAAAGTAAGGATTTCTAGAGTCAGAGGAGGAGAATATTCATTCCAGGCATGGGGGACAGTCTGTGCAACTCTGAGCTATCATCTCATGTACATCATATTGGCAGGGGGCAAAGAGTGAAAAAATTCAATTTTTTATTGTTGATTCTACTTACTTATTTCCTGCTGGTGTAGCTGTGAATAGGTACTATTCTGAGAAACAATTTGAAATTACACAAGAAGTTATTACTTTTTCCTAATCCTTAATCCAGCAATATTTTTTTGGAGGCAGTTGGGGTTGTGATTTGCCCAGGTTCACACAGTAGTGTCTGAGGGTGAATTTGAACTCACATCCTCCTGACTCCAGGGCGATGCTCTACCCACTGTGCCACCCAGCTGCCATCAATCTTTTTACTGCATTTACGCCCCACAGGTCAACAGCAGTAAGAAAGGACACATATGTACAAAAAATGTTCTTAGCAGTACTACTGTAACAGCAAAAATTGGGGGGAAAATGAAATGTAGTTAGTGCCCAATGATTGGGAAATGGTTAAAGAAATGATGTTATCCAAATGTAATATAATAGCATGAATATAAGTTCAGAGGAACATGGGAAGACTTATAGGAAATGATGCAGACAGGAAGGCACAGCCTAAAGAATAAAATACATACTGACTGCAATTTGAATGAAGACAATATTAAATGGCAACATAACTCTGGTCATGTACACAAAATGTTGGTACTAAATTATAAAAGTTAAAGCACAACTCATTTATGTTAATCAATGAGAGGAAAAGTTAACAAAAAGAGGAAAGTGGCATGTACTATCAGTAAAGATTTCTATCAGTTGAATTTGCTTAACTGTTTGGGGGACTGAATTTTGTCAATGAGAGTGTTTATTAGGAAATGTTTGCTTTGTCAAAATAAAATGAAACAGTAGGAAAAAGAGAAATCAATGAAAAATAGCTCCCCCAAGTGATTTTGAAAAGGAAAGATAAAAAAGAGTCAAGGTTCGGTTAATGGGCACCACATTGGATTAAGATCTTCAGCTACTCTGAGAGACAGTTTTAAGGAACAAAGGGGTGATAGTCTTGTACTCTGCCCTGGTCAACTGACATCTGGAATACTGTGTTCCATTCTGAGCATTAAATTTTAGGAAGGAAATGGAGAGAGAAGGGCAATGAAGATAGTGAAAAAGGCCAAGTTCATGCCATATGCAACCAGATTAAGGAACTGGGTGATGTTTATGAAAAAGAAAATTCGGGGGAACATGGTGGCTTCCTAATAATTAGAGCTCTCCCATTGTCAAATGAGCTGCCTTACAAGATAGTGGGATTTGACCTTAATGGAGATCTTCAAGTAAAAGCTGAATGGTTATTTGTGGGGTGTGCTGTTTTGGGACATGCTTTGTCCAGTATGGGTTGGATTAAATGGTTCTGAGTCCCTTGTGATTCTGAGATTCTGTGATTTTTGCGAAAATCAGTGACATGTTTATAAGGCTTCTGTCAAATGTGAATTCAGTGGTGCTCGGCAGGTTCACAATTAAAATTAATTCTGTGCTACAGTTCTTACATTTATAGTTGCCCCGTTAACATGAAATTCTAAAATTATTGAAAGAGCATTTTCCAGCTAAAGGTTCTCTCACATTCACTTCATTAATGTGGTTTATCTCCAGAATTCTGATAATTAGGCAGAGACATTTTATGGCTGATGGCCCCTCCTATAAAGAAGTTCTCTCCAATAGGAATCGTTTGATATTCAACAATACAATATGAATGATGTGGTTCTGTCTAAAGACCTTTTTACCATAGTTTGTTTTTGTTACAATACTGATTCTTCAATGTTATGTTTTGAGTCTCAGCTAAAAGCCTTTCAAAAGACTACAGGTTTCTCTCCAGTATGATTTTTTTTTGTTGACATTTAAGGTGTGTTTCATCCTAGGGCTTGACCACAGTCATTATACTAATAAGGTTTTTCTCCAGTATGACTCCTCTTATGGTAAATTAGGGATGAGTTGTGCCTGAAAACTTTCCCACATTCGTTACATAGATAAGGTTTTTCTCCAGTATGAATTCTCTGATGGTAAGTAAGTTGTGTGCTCTGAATAAAGGCCTTCCCACATTCATTACATTCATAAGGTTTCTCTCCAGTGTGAATTCGCTGGTGGAAAGTAAGCTGTGTGCTCTGGTTAAAGGCTTTCCCACATTCATTACACTCATAAGGTCTCTCTCCAGTGTGAATTCTCTGATGGGAAATAAGCTGTGTATTTGACCTGAAGGCCTGTCCACATTCATGACATTCATAAGGTTTCTCTCCGGTATGAATTCTCTGATGGGAAGTAAGGTGTGAATTTGACCTGAAGGCTTGCCCACATTCATGACATTCAAAAGGCTTTTCTCCAGTATGAATTCTCTGATGGTAAGTAAGGGATGAACTAGAGCTAAAAGCTTTCCCACATTCATTACATTCATAAGGTTTTTCTCCAGTATGGATCCTCTGGTGGTAAGTAAGATGTGTGCTCTGAATAAAGGCCTTGCCACATTCATTACATTCATAAGGTTTCTCGCCAGTGTGAATTCTCTGGTGGAAAGTAAGCTGTGTGCTCTGGATGAAAGTCTTCCCACATTCATTACACTGATAAGGTTTTTCTCCAGTGTGAATTCTCTGATGAGAATTAAGTTGTGTATTTGACCTGAAGGCCTGACCACATTCGTTACATTCAAAAGGTTTTTCTCCAGTATGAATTCTCTGATGATAAGTAAGGGACGAGCTATATCTAAAAGCCTTCCCACATTCATTACATTCATATGGCTTTCCTCCAGTATGAATTCTCTGATGGGACGTGAGCTGTGTTCTCTGGATAAAAGTCTTCCCACATTCATTACACTGATAAGGTTTTTCTCCAGTGTGAATTCTCTGGTGGTAAGTAAGTTGTGAGCTCCATCTAAAGGCCTCTCCACATTCGTTACATTCATGAGGTTTCTCCCCAGTATGAATTCTTTGGTGGAAAGTAAGGGATGAGCTATAGCTAAAAGCTTTCCCACACTCATTACATTTATGAAGTTTCTCTAGTGTATGAACTCTCTGGTGCTCATTAAGATGTTTTCCCTGGAGGAATGCTTTCTCACATTCACTGTATCCACAAGTTCTCTCTTCAAAATCTATTCTATGATGCTGAATGTTTGAATCACAGCTGAAAAGTTCCTCACATTCATTATCCTGGGAAAGTGTCTCAACATCACAATTCCAGGCTTCTTTCAATATGGAATCCTGATAACCATCACTTGGATTTCTTTCCTGGACTGATTTATCCACAGTAAAGCCCAGTTCTGAAGCTGATTCATCTGTTTTGGACCTGGTCTTCCAATCTGTAACAAGCAAATAAACACATTACTAGTATGTCTTTTCTCCATCTGAAGAAAGAGAACTTCAATGTATTTACTCTTGTACTATCTTCCCTTCTACTGCTAACTCCACCAGGGCCTTCAAGAAGGATATAACAACAACAACAACAAAATAACACCACCTTATATGTGTTGAATGATTCTAGTCTATAAAGAAATTTTGTACATTTATGGGAAATCATGGAGAACAAGAAGTGCTAGAAAAGTGGTGAAAGTTAGATGTCTAAAAGCTCCAGAAGGAAGAAAAGGTGGATTCTGCATACTATACTTAAACTACACTTAACCGAATTGGCAGTCAGTGTTGACATGGAAGAGTAGTGCTACATATGGGGCTAGAAGAGACATAGGTTCAAAACAAGTCTGTGAAACTTAGGAGTGATGGTCCACCATCGGCAAGACTCACTTAAGAGTTTTATCATCCATAAAATGGGGATATTAATAAATAGAGCTCACAGGGTTGCTTTTAGGATCAAGAAAGATAATGTATTATTCATTATTGTTATTATTATATTCAAAGGAATCTGTGATTAGAAGACACTGGACCATTAGAAGGCACCTAATAACATCACAAAAAACCAAAACTGATTACCTTGTAAAGGTCAAGAAATGTCTTACTGCCAATGCTGAAGCCATTCCTGAAGTGGGGGTCGGGGATCGGAGGGGATAGATGGCTAAGCGCTGTGCTATGTGCTTTACAAGTATTATCTTATTTGATCCTCACAACAACCCTTCGAGGTAGGATCAGCTGCTTATGTACTCAGACCACCAGTTATTAAGAGCATGACTCCAGCCTGGTCAATCGCAACAAGTTATTTATGATGAAAAATAAGATCGAGATGAAAGAAATGATAAGACCAAACTATAACAATATCACACGAAAGTTTAACTAGCAGAAACCAAATGCCATAAGAAGGCAAACAAGAGTACAAAGTGATTCAGCAAATATCTGACATCCTTTGTAGTATCACTTAGGGCTGTCTGGTACAGAGTGTAAGCACTTATGAAAATACTTTGTTGACCGACTGAGTTCCTTACACGCAGATGGACGACAGCCAAGAGTAATGTTAAAATATAAATTCCTTCGAAAAGTATTACAGAGAAGGCGAGTGGGAGGTTACGACCAGTATCATCTCACAAAAGAGACATAAGCAGTGAGCTAAAACTAGTTTAAAGAAATCTCAGTAAGACTCAATTAAGTGAAGCCATTTAAAGATGAAAATGGATGGACAACAAACAAAAGAAAAATTGAAAAAACCTACAGAGATTTTTATAACAAACTTTTTCACCATCAAGGGCAAAGGACTTCATAGTCACCGTTATTAAATATCACCTAAGTAGGTGTGATCTATCACTCTGGCCTGCAGAGACTTAGATCTTTTCATGTCCTCATCTTATAAGGAGAAGTTGGCTATCTTTTCAAGGTTTGTGTCATGCAATAATTTGGTAAGAGCATTTGTGCTTCTACCCAAGTCAAAGATGGAAAGGAGAAAGACCAGCACAGAAAATATGAATCCATCTAGGACCGAGAAGGAAGGTTACTAAATTAAAACAGATGAAGAAAAAAGAAAAAAAATAAGAATAAAGAAAAAACTAGTCAGAGATAATTGGTGGAAATAGCCTAAGGTCAAAATCTAAACTCTCTGAGAAATAACTGAAATAAATAGGCTCCTAACGCCTATCTCTCCCTCCTGTTTCTCCCCATTCCAATTCATTCTTCTCCCAGTTTTCATATTAACCTTACTGTATCCATCACCTGATTCCAACACTATCTCAGTGCCTCCCTAGCTTACTTACAGGATCGGGGAAACACATCTTAACGAGGCATTCAGAGACCTCCAAAAGCGTCTCCCAGTTCAGCCACCTAGCCTTCTGTTCCACCCCCCTCCAACAAGTACCTGATGCTCCAGAAAGACTCTCATTGTCCCATCATTCTGAACTCTATCCCCTTTCTCACGTTGGTTCCTCTTGTTAGGGAGCTTATTCAAAGGCCAAAAGTACTTTGTTCATTTTCTATTTTACCTATCTAGCCTTGCAACATCTTCCCTCTGTAGTAATTACTCGCTTCTCTCGAGGCCCTAGATTGAGCAGCTCTCCAATTCATTTTGACCAAATGACAGGAAGCCCCTGTTATGTGCCCTTTCCCAGATCAAGCACTAGATAGCGCCTCTTTCTCTCATGACGCCTAGGACAGCCTCCTGCTCCATCCCTCACAGGCATCCAAACAGATGAGTGTAAGGAACGGTCAGTGCAGACAAGGGAAAGGCTGCTTCAGGAAGCTGACCTGGAGGAAATGGGAGACAGAAAGCTCTGTGTCCTGCTGGGGCTACGCTTCCCTTCTCTGACAATTGAGGCAAATGTGAGAGAAAAGATGTAGGAAAGTGATTTGTTCAGAACAGCTCGAGGCAGCTTCTGCAGGAAGCTCCATTGCTGGTGTCCCTCTCCCCTGGGTGGAGAGCGGAGGACAGTTTCCCATGCAAACTTTCAAAGGCCTCCTCCATCCCTGACTAAAGAGTACTCAAGTACCCAAATATTCGCTCACTTACCTCTTAACTCTTCGCTCTCCATGATCCACGGTCTTTCCCCTTGCTCCAACTGGGAGATCACTTCTGGTTTGGAAACAGGAAGCCCTACTTGGGGAAAATGAACAGTCCTGAGGATAGAGAGCCACCTTCAGATTCAACGACACCCATTCATCTCCAGGGACGAGTAAGCTCCCCAGAATAACCAAAGGGCAAGACAAAGAACCTCTGAAAGATGTTTGATACAGAGTTCCTGGGAAGCAGGGACTTTTTTTTCTTTTGAGGGGAATGAGAGTACATAGTTCAAAGACAGGGGGTTGGAAAAAGAAAGAAAATCAGACCATTTGTTCTCCTCATGGGATCACCGATTTAGAGCTGGAAGTGGCCTTATAAGCCATGGAGCCCAATCGTCTCATTTTGCAGATGAGGAAATCGGGCACAGAGAGGTTGTGACTTGCCTAGAGTCACATAGTGAGTAAGGCAGTATGTGAACCTGAATCTTCCTGACTCCCGCTGTACCACTCAGCCACCTACTAGAAAGCTGAGATTCTTTCTCGTCTTCAGTTATTTGTACAAGGGGAAAGTATCTTTGACTTGAGGCAACAGAAGATGCAGAAGGTATGGCCTCAGTGGCAGCCAAGTGAAGACGTCCCTTCCCAGTTTTACTGAGTAAAGGCAGCTAAATGGCACAGTGGATAATAGGAAGATCTGAATTCAGATCCAGTCTCAGATATTTACTAGCTGTGTGACCCTGGGCAAATCACTAAACCTCTGGCTGACTCAGTTTCCTCATCTATGAAACAGCAATGATAACAGCACCTACCTCCCAGGGCTCTTGTGAGGCTCAGATGAGTTAACAATCACAAAGCACTTAGCACATAAAGGCTGGGATATGGCAGGCGCTACATAAATGCTTATTCTATTCTCTTCCCTACAAAGTGTAAAAGTACCCTGACTCACAGAAACAGAGGGATTAGGAGCCGCAGGCCTCTCCAAAACCAAAAACACTGCTAGGAAAACAGTCCACAGCATTTATCAGGTGCAGAAACACAGGGGCAGCTAGATGGCGCAGTGGATAGAGTGCCGGCCCTGGAGTCAGGAGGACTTGAGTTCAAATCCAGCCTCAGACACACAACGCTTACTAGCAATGTGACCTTGGGCAAGTCCCTTAACCCCACTGACTGGCAAAAAAAATAACAACAGAAAAAAACCCAGAAACATATCAGCAGACTCCCAGGCACAAAGCGTAAGCCACAGGAAGTCTCTCTTACCCAGAGAGACCAGGTTCCTATAGTTCTCCAGCATCACATCTCTGTACAGCTCTTTCTGAGAAGGATCCAAATGTCTCCACTCAGCTTGGGTGAAGTCCACGGCCACGTCATTAAATGTCACTGCCTCCTGAAACACAACACGCATTCTTGCTTATTCAAAGACTGCCCCTCATCTGGAACTCAAGCAGAGAGGAGGTGGCTGGGAAGTTGAGGGCACGATTACAGGAGTTAAGCGACTGTAAGGGGTTTGAACTCAGGTTTTCAGATTCCCAGTTTACTGTTATTTTCCTACACAATGACAAGGAGTGTTCTGTGGCTCCTTCTAACTTGTGTGTGCCCCCTCTCCCACAGTGCCAAAAATGGAGCACTTCACTCTTAAAGCCTCTGACAGTTGATAAAATCCACAGGTCCCTTATAATTAGGTACATAGCACTAACACTGTCAACCTGGGGGGAAAAAACCTCAAACTGAGACCAACTAGGTGATCAATAAATAAAATGAGGCATTGATTCAGGGTCGAGAAATTGTAATTTGGGGCAGCATGCTGCCTTATTCAGATAGGGCTGTCCATGGAGGAAGGGGGGAAGGGGATTCTTATAGGGCATGGTTGTGGGAACCAGCAAGAGAGCGTATGGTCCAGATACACAGAGCAGCTTAACTGCTGGAAGGAAGTGTTGAAGGTGTTGTGGGATTACAAGAGCAAGGCTGCAGAAATGTCCTTGGAACTCTCTCTGTCCAGGAACAGGGACAGTTAGAAACCGCTCGGTTATGCAGGGGTCTTCTTAGGGGCAGTTTCTCACGGGTCAGAGAAGGGTAGGGGTCCAGATTTTCCCAGGGGTCGACAACACCGTTAAACATTCTCCAGAAAGTTTCCATTAATAATCAAGTACCATTTCTATCAGATAAGAGACACTGCCCCTAGCAATTTCCTCCTGATTACACAACTTCCCACTGATGAATTAAAACTTGTTTACAAGAGAGAGCAGGCCCTCCTTGGCACCAGCCACTTTATGGAAACAGCCTTACCTCATATATTCCTACTAGGAATGCTACTCCCCATTACAGTCTTCTTCCACCCAGCTGTCAAAGTAAAATTCCTTAAGTGAAGGTCTGACCATGTCATCCAACTGTTCAATAAACTCTACTCACTCCCTATTACCTGCAGGATCAAATATAAAATCCTGACTTTTAACCTCTCATAACCTCGCCCCTTCCTACCTTTTAAGTCTTTTTGCACTCTACCCGCCTCTACACATGATTCAGAGGCACTGGCCGCCTTGCTCTTCCTCAGACATGGCCCTCCATCTCCTGACTCTGTGAATTTTCCCTGGCGGTCCCCTGACCCGATCTCTTTCCTTATCTCTATATCCTGGCTTCCTTCAAGTCTCAGCTAAAAATATCACCTTCTGCAAAAAGCCTTTCCCGGTCCCCCAGTGCTAACGGTACTGCTTTTCTTCTACCCTGTAAACATCTTCTGTGTGTCTGTCTATTTATCTGTTATCCATCTGCGCGTTATCTATCTATTGGCATGTTGTCTATCGCCATATTATCTCTGTGTGTCAGCTACATATCTATCTCGTGTGATCTGCTTATCTCTGTGTTAACTCTCTCACAAGAACATGAGGTCCTTTAGGATAGAGACTGGTTTTGTATCCCCCAAAGCTTAGCATAGTCCCTGGGATATAATAAATGCATATTGAATGACTGGAAAAAAATAGCAAACTCTTGTAACTAATACACTCAGTCAAGCAAAACAACTTCTTACACTGGCCAGGTCTGAAAATCTGTACCTCCTTCAGAAATGAGTCCATCACCTTTCTTTCGGGAAGTGGGTAACATGGCTCATCATTGGTCCTCTGGAATGGTGGTTGATCATTGCTTTGATTAGGGGAGGGGGAGGGAAGATAATCGTTAATAATTAGTTATTACTACGGGAATTTATTAAGCAACTACTGTGTACCAGGCATCATGCTAAGCTGTTTACCAATATTGTTTGATCCTCACAACAGCCCCGTGAGGTAAGTGCTCTTATTATCTCCTTTTTCAGTTGAGAAATTGACACAAGAGATTAAATGACTTGCCCAGATTCACAGAGCTCATCAGTGTCTGAGGAAGGACTGGCTTTTCTGACTCCAGACCAAGCCACCTAGTGGCAGTGACAAGAATCTTTAAGTCTTTCAAAGTTTTTTGTCTTTATAAACAACTTTTGTTGTCATTATTGTAAAAATTCTTCTCCTGGTTCTGTTTACTTCACAGTCTGAACCAGTTCGTACTTATTTTCTCAGGTTTCTCTCAAACTATCCCTTTTGTCCCTTCCTAAAGCACAACCGTAATCCATTAGGTTAATATTCCATGATTTGTCCAGCCATTGTTCAATTGATGGTCACCCCTTTAATTTCTAGTTTGTTGTTGTTTTGGTTTTTTTGTTTTTGTTTTTGGTTTTTTTTTGGTCACCACATGGGTCCTTTTCCTCTTTTGTTGATCTCTTTGGAATATAAGCCTAGTACAGTTAAGTCACCTTTTCAGTGTAGTTCCAAATTGCTTTCCAGAATGGGCCAACCAGTTCAAAGCTCCACCATCAGAGCAATACTGTTGATACTGGCATGGCATACCCTCATCAGAGAAGGTGCTGTGCTTTACGAGTAAAACCAGAACTGAAGTAGCCCAAGAGAAACTCTAGAACCTCAAATGTAGAGAACCCACACCAAATATTCACGTCGACTATTTGTGCCTGACCAACTCCAAGCTCCTGCTGGTCTGATCAGCCAGTCAGACACACTGAACTTGAATCTAGCATAGTGACATCATTTCGGAGCTCTTTGAAACCGAAGAATAACAACCAGTCCTCAGCGAAACAAACCAACAAAGCTGACAGAAGAGGAAAATGGCTGGTTGGAGGGGCTATGGGAAAACAGGTACATTCAGGTGTTAGTGGCAAAACCGTGAACTGGTCCTGCTCTTGTGAAAAGCAACCTGGAACTATGTCCCAAAGCTATTAAATTGTGCATACCCTTTGATAATAATGATACCACTACGAGGTCAAAACCCCCAAAGAAATTACAAAAGAAGGGGAAGGATCCATAAGTACCAAAATATTTACTGTAGCTCCTTTTGCAGTGGCAGAAAATTGGAAACTGAGGTGAGGTCCATCAATTAGGGAAGGACTGAACAAGTTATGATATATGAATGTGGTAGGATACTATTGTCCAGTAAGTGACATAAGAAATGACAAAGGTTTTAGAGGAAAATGTATGAACTGACACAGAATAAAGAGAATAATTTTATAATAACAACAACATTGTAAAAACAAAGACAAAGACATAGGAGTTCTGATTACTGCAATGACCAATCATGACTCCAGAGGACTAACACTGTGCTGTTGATCTCTTGATAGAGAAGTGATGGCCTCAGAGTACAGTCAGATACTTCTTTTTGGACACGGATAATCCAGTAATTCGTTTTGTGTGATTACACACGTTTGTAAGAGTTTTTGTTTTGCTTGCTTTTTCAACGGGGTGGGCAGGGAGTTGGGAAGTAGAGAAGGCAGATTTTTGTGCAGATTTTGTCCCTTCCAACTCTAAATCTTTGATCTTAAAAAATTTTCTTCTGATGACCTGATATACTACTTAATGCTCTTCCCTCTCGTTTTGCTTCTTATAAACCAAAACAAGTGCATGATTATTAATAGGAGAGTCTAGGTGGGTGTCTGGACGACGATACTAAAACTTTCAAGACCTCTCTCATTCATCTTTTGTGTTCTTATCTCCTAGCTCAGGACTGAGCAATCAGTATACCTGAATGCCTTGATAAATGAATAACAACTTCGGGGAAGGAAAAAGGCATTAAGGTGGGCAGGGGGCAGATCTTTTATAGAGCACATCCCAGGCCTTTTGGGTTCCAGCACATAGGTAAATATTTTGCGCATACTCCAGAATCTTGGGTGCCACCGAGGAAAATCCAATAGAGGCTGCGAAGCAGGAAGGGTCAGGCCACAAGCCAGCCCCGAGACGCCTTGGGTCATCACGAATGCTACCTGCAGACGTGAGGTTGGACGACGCTCTGCGTACATCATCCCTGACACCCCCCTAAGGTTTCAGCAGCGAGTCAGGAACGTGCCCACCCCGGGGCAGGAGTCAGAGTCCGGCTCGTCCCCCACCTACCCCCCATGACTGCGGGTGATCCCTACGCGGAGGCCGGAGGGAGGTGCGCAGAGCGCTTGGCAGACCCCAGGCGGGGGCTCCCCGGCTCCAGCACCTAGCCCGGGAGGCATCTACACTCGGGGTCACTCCAGCGGATGGGGAAGAGGAGGCTCTACACCGCAGGCCGCTCCTGCCCGTTTCTCCCCCTCCCTCCCCAGGCAGCTCACCTGTGGGGCCCGCGCCGCCCCGCACACCCGGATCTGCCCTGGCTCCATCCCTCCCTCCCTGGCTCCTCCTCAGCGGGCAGGCCCGGGGGCAGGCAGGGCCCGCGAGCGGCCCGGCCCGGAGGTGGGACGGCACATCCCGCGCCGGGCCGGGCCGGGCCGGGGCTGAGGCTCAGGGTGCTTCTGGAGGGGGCCGCTCGGCCTGGGATCGGAGCCCCGCCATCCCCAGCCTTAGCCCAGAGCACTCTCAGGCCCGGAGCCAGCCAGGAGCTCCCGCATCTGAATGCAACCTGAAAGCTAGGGGGCGGGGCGGAAAGGGACGCCGGGAGACGCTGCTGATTGGCTGGAGAGCCGCATCACGTGATCGCGGAGAAGCCCAGGGAGATCCACGGGGCGGAGCCGAAGAACAAAGAGGAAACGGCCGCGGAAGTTGACTTCCAAGACCCTCGGGACTTGGGGAACAGGAAACTACCTTGTCCGCAAGGAATTTTGGGAATCGTAGTCTGGCGGCTAGAGGAATCTGTTCTGCGCATGCGCAAGAAAGGTTGCCGCTTCTTTTCTTCCAACTTTGGTCCAGTGCTCCAAGAGCAAGACGCTAGCAAGAGGCACCGTGAAGAGAAGAACCTGCGATGGTGGGAAAGAAAAGGAAAAGGAGGGACAGGACGTCGGGGGAATGGGTCTGAAGGCTGCATGGGGAAGCACCCTGGAGAGGCTACTGTGAAGGGCTGCGTGTCCCCTTCTAACCAGAGTTCCCGGAGTCTCTAGGCATGGACCCATTTGGCCATAAGGTTTTGGACAACCAATGGGCCACTGAAATAAAAACCTTTACGTTTGTTTTCTTTTAATATGATAATTTCTGTGCGCCTTATCTTCCTCCCTCCCCGTTCCTTCTTTCCTTCCTTCCTTTCTTCCTTCCTCATATAACACTTATCGCTGGGACCTCTTGACCAAACATGCAAAGTAACTCACAGGTTGAGACTCCAAAAGGACACCTGACTTCTCTTTCAGTGGTCTTGGGGTAATCAGGAATCGGGTTTCTCATTGCTGCTCAGGAGCCCTCACCAGTGTGCTTCCCATTGTTAATTAGCCATAACTAGATGCTTTTTTTTTTTTAAACTACTGAGATGGCATAGTAAGAACATTCCTTCAAACGAAGCAAGAATCATCCCCTGCACTCTCAAGATCTTTGGGAAGAGTGAGCTCAAATTTAAATTACAAAGGCAGTGAGTTAGTTGTCTTCCATTTGTTTTCTCAGAGAGGACCGAAATAGCATCACTATGTTGGAGTCAAGTTACAGTGTGTTCAACTGTGGCTGAGCAGACCAATACAGCTTGGAATGCTCTACTACACATTGGGCACAAATAGTCCATGTGAACGTTTGGGGTGGATTGTCTAAATTTGTGCATCTCGTGTTTCTTTTCAGCTACTTCAATTCTGGTTTGCTTAAAGAACACAGCACCTTCTTTGATGAGAGTAGGCTGGGCGCTGGTACTTTGCCAGTATCTCTCTTGTCACATATAAATTTCAGAGTTCTTCAGAGAGACCTTGAGAGTATCCTTGCACCACTTCTTCTGACCACCATGTGAGTGCTTGCCTTGTGTCTCCATACAATAGTTTCTTAGGCAAGCATATTTTTGGCATTCTAACAATGTGGCAAGCCCATCAGAATTGTGTTCTCTGCAATAGAGTTTGAATGTGTGGCAGTTCAGCTTGAGAAAGGACCTCAGTGTCCAGTACCTTATCTTGCTAGGTGAACTTCAGAATCTTCCTAAGACAATTCAAATGGAAGCAATTCAGTTTTCTGGCATGGCACTGATATACTGTCCACGTTTCACAGACATACAACAATGAAGTCAGCACAACAGCTCTGTAGACCTTCAGTATGGTATTCAATCTTGCCTCCCACACTTTCCTTTGGAGCCTCCCAAACACTGAGCTAGCTCTAGCAATGCCTGTCAACTTCATTATCAATGTATACATCCCTGGAAAATATGATGCCAAGGTAAATGAACTTACCCACAGTATTCAAAACTTCTCCAATGGTTTCCACATATGGATGGTGTGGTGCTGGCTGCTGGAGCACCTGTGTTTTCTTGGTGGTGTTAGGCCAAAATTAGCCCACGCAGCAGGGAATCAATCCATACTTTGGTACATCTCACCTTCAGAGTTACTTATCTTCAGTATGCCATAGTTTCTTCAACTGTAAAATGAAGATTGTAATAGCACCTACCTCCCAAGGTTGTTGTGAGGATCAAATGAGAACTGTAAAGCACCTTAGCATAGTGCCTGGCACCTGTCCTCTTCCCCCCCAGAAGTAGTTGCCTGTTGACTGGGAAATGTCAAAACAAATTGTGGCAAATTAATTTAATAGAATATTACTGTGCTATAAGAAATGGTGTATATGATAAATACAAAGATGCATGGAAAGAAATACATGAGACGATAAAGAGTGAAGTAGACCCCACCCCCAAAAAATACACAATGACTACAACAATGCAAATGAAAAGGAGAACCACACACACACAAATCAAAAGTGAATGTAACAAAATTACGAAGTGCATGAATGACTAACAAAGATATGAGAAGATATATCCAACTCACTCCTTCACAGAGCAGGAGGCCCACAGGCTTAGCACATTGCACACATCTTTGAACTTTTTCAATACTGATTAGTTTGCTGATCTTTCCTCTTTTTCTTTAAAATATACTATTTGTTATGTGGGATGGCTCTCTAGGAGTGGGAGTGGAAGGAATAATAGGGGAAACTATGATGATGTACAAAATAGGAAACTCAATAAAAATTTTTGTAAAAAATGTAAGTTGTGTGATCTGGATAAAAATCTTTCTGCATTCAGTATATATATATCTTGGTTACTAAGCCCATATCAAAGAAATTTGATACAATGATTATTTCCCATTTGACCACTTCCCTTCTCCTAGGGTCCATTAATTTGTCTTTGCAGAAGCTTTTCAATCAATTGACATTTATTAAGCAACTACCATGTTCCAGGAGTTATCTATTTTATCTTTTGTAATTCCCTCTAGCTTGTTTGGTTAAGAACACATCTCCTAGGACCTGAGTTCAAATATGACCTCAGACACTTAACACTTACTAGCTGTGTGACCTTGGGCAAGTCACTTAACCCCATTGCCTAGCCAAAAAAACAAAAAAAATAAGAATACATCTCCTACCCATAACTGTGAGAAGTATATAATCTATTTTTGTTTGAAAAAAAATTTTAAAGTATGATCTTTAATATTAAGTCATGTATCCATTTAGAATACATTGTAAAATATGATATAAAATGTTGGCCTAAACCTAATTCTGCCAGATTGCTTTCCATTTTTCCCATAAGTTTTTATAAGTTTTTTCCCCCCTAGGTAAACACACAGCTTACTTTCTGTGAGAATTCACACTAGAGAAAAACCTTATAAATGTTCAGAGACTTTTATCCAGATCACATATCTTATTTCCACCAGAGAATTCACACTGAAGAGAAAGCTTATGGATACAATAAATGTGGAAAAGCTTTTAGCTCCACTTTATCTCTTACTTGCACCACAGAATTAATACTGGAGAGAATCATGTCAGTATACTGAATGTGGGCAGACCTTCAGATCAAACATACAGCTTATTTCCCATTAAAGAATTTATATAGAGTATTATAAATGTAATGAACCTGACTTTCATCCCAATTATACATCTTACTTCCACCAAAGAATTAATTCTAGAGAGAAGCTAATTTTTCAGTGTCACCAGGCAATTCTTTTAATCCATATTACATATGAATTGCCCATCTGAATTTGGTGGAGGGTATTTCTTACACTAAGAGTTCCCTAAGCCAGTCTGCGCAGATCTATACAAGTACGTGAATGTGTTTTCCATGCGGAGGTTGCATGGCATAGAGCAGAGCTAATTTCACAGACTGAAACACCAGGGTTCAGATCCCATCTTTGACACATCCTGGCCTCATGAACCTGGGAAAGTCACTTCACTTCTTAGTGGCAGAGTTAACTCTAAGATTTTGATTTACAGAGAAGGTGCTGATAGGCACAGGAAGTTCCTGACCATGAGCTCCCTTTTTGTTATTGTTAAGTTGTTTCAATCATATCTGACTCTTCGTGACTCCGTTTGGGCTTTACTCTGATGGAATTACAGGTGTAGTGAAAAAAAAAAGCCAAGTTGTATAGGTCACAACTTATTTAAACATTCCTTGATGTTTAGACACTCTGCTTATTTCTAACTTTTACTATTACAATTTTTTTTTGTACACATGGATTTTTTCTTGGCTTTTATGGGGTATAAACTCAATAGTGAGTAATGCTGGATCAAATTAATAACACAAAATTCCAATTTTTTTTTCCAGAATAGTTAGACTAATTCACAGCTCCACCAGCAGTGAATTAGCATGCTTATTTTCCCACAGACATTTCAATGCTGAATTATTCCAATTTTGCCATCTTTATCAGTTTGATGGTAAAAGACACTATCTTAGAGTTATTTTAAGTTTCATTGTTTTGATTAATAATTTAATTTTGAATGTTTTTCAAGTATATGAATTTATTATTTTGAGCACTTCATAATCTTTGGTGTTTATTGAGGAATGAGTTTTAATCACACTGATTCCCTTGGTGATTATGAATGTCCTATTTTTAGCAATGATTTTTTTATGCCAAGATATAACCCAATCCACATCTTTTCTTTTTCCAGCTGCAATGATTTTGTGTCAAAGATTTTTTGAGATTTCTATCACAATTCTGTCTCTTATAAAAGACTGCTACAATTAGTTTATCACATTTGTGAAAGCTATAATATACCATTCTCTAACAATTTTATACCACGACTTTAGATTAACATTTGAAATGTATTATTGTATATACTGTAATTAACTAGTTTAAAACAATTTCTCAATAAACTGCTATCCAATTGCCCCTAGCAGTTCTTGTTGAATAAAGAATTTTTTCCATTGTATATTATGTTCTTACATTTATTAAAAATTAACCTGTCATATGTTTCCTTCTAAGCTTTACTTATCTGATGCAGACCACTAATCACCTTTCCTATTTTTAACCATTGTGGTATATGCATGTAATGGAATACTATTATTCTATAAGAAATGATAAGCAGGCAGATTTCAAAAAAACCTGAAATGACTGAAATGAACTGATGCTGAGTGAAGGAGAAGAAATCAGGAGAACAGCAACATTGTGCAATGATCAACATTGATAGACTTAGCTCTTCTCAGCAATGCAATGATCTAAGACAATTCCAAAAGACTCATGATGGAAAATGCTATCCACATCCAGAGAAAGAACTAT